AAGTAGGCACTTGTAGTATTATTTCCCAAAAGATGGTTTTTGCTTTTTTTTTGAAATGTTTAAAACATATAGTGTGTAGGATGCAGAAATCACCAACTGAAAAAGGGTTGTGTTCCAACATGAAGATCAAGTTGTTAGTTCCAGCTTTTTTTGTATGACCCCATTATAAAACTAGGGTCAGAATCTTAAGATTTTTGTTGTGTGTGCCGTCACAGATGTCTTGCGGATGGTGTTGGTGATGTTGCCTTCACCAAATACTCAGTCCTAATTGACAACAGCAATGGTGAGCAGCAATGAACCCACCACGAATAACATCAGCTCCCAGCAGTGGAAAACCAACAAATACAACTATAATATGTATTATTTCTTTTCTTCTTCCCACAGGCATGGGTCTAAACTTAAATCTTGATGACTACCAATTGATCTGCCCTGGAAAAGCTCCAGTGCCAATAGACAAGTTTTCTGAATGTCATTTGGCTAAAGTGCCAGCACATGCTGTTGTGACTCGTCCAGAGAAGAGGGATGATGTGGTTAAATTTCTGAAGACGGAGCAGGTCAGAGAGAATATAATATTTAATTGATTGTCTGCTTTTGCCTTCTGTCCCAATCAACACACTGCACAAAAGTGAACTCACACTCTCTTTGAAGAGGCTTAAAGACCTGAGGTTAGTATGGAAACAACCTAACAGTTTTAAAATGATTGTATTAACAGGGTAAATACGGAACCAGTGACGGTAACGCCGAATTTCAGATGTTCAGTTCAGCTTCTTACGCTGCCAAAAATATGCTGTTCAAGGACCGTACACAGTGTCTCCAAGAGATTCCAATTGGACAAAACTTTGAACAGTTTTTGGGAGAGGAGTACATGAAAGTCATGAAATCCCTCCGAAAATGTGAAGAAAACACTTCAGGTTTGTGCTGTTGTAATTTCAAAAAGTCAAAACATATTATCAGGCTTTCCTTTCACTTATATGTGTTTTATCCCTTCTTTGATAGAACTGGAGAGGTCCTGCACTTTCCACCCATGCCAGAATAACATATAATAATCATGGACGTTGTGGTACCTCAGATGATTCATGATGAAACATCTGTCCTTTCAACCACACATACAGTATTTCAATACTGCTCTTCAAACCATTATCTTCTGTAAACCTGTAATAGATTAAGTTGCAATTCAATTTACATCAACAAGTGAAAAAGAATGTGTTTCACTGTTTAAATAAAATATTTCTTTCATTTGACATTGTCTGATGACTGTTGTGTACATACTGGAAGATTCATTTTTGCTGAAATGTGTACAACCTAAATGACCGTGACAATCAACAAAATAATTCATCAGTACATTGTACAATGGCTGCTAAAAAAGACTTTTACCTGTATACAGTTTAAATAGTTGTTTAATATTTTTGATTCTATTGACCAAGTTAGCAACTATACAATGTAACGTAACTTAATTCTTTGTAAAGGGACAATAATATATATAATAATAATGTAATGTATAATAACCAGAACCTGCCTACTTGTAGTGATTGGTTAGATTTGATAAACTGGCATGAACTTAAGCTCTTCTGTGGGCTAATATTGACCATATTCTGTGGGCTATGTGAACATAGCTGGAAAAAAGTTTCTTTGGCAAAAGAGTTCCCCTTTAGTTATTGCTTAATGGTTGGCCTCTTATCTGCCTTATTTGTAGGTCATGGCTTTTCTAACATCATCATGTAGACAAAAGAAAGATTAAAGATTAAAAGTCAATGCACCTTTTGCAGAATTTTTAGTAGGAAACATCTCAGTGTGTACACATTCTCTTCAACAAACAAACACCATATCTTGTCACCCTATTTGTAAGCTATTTAAAACGTTTTTATTCATGTAAACACATGTGAAAAGGCAGTGACGTGTCATTAGACTATCCTATTATCTGTATAAGTCCATTGGTAGGAGCTTGTGCCTTTGTGTGTTATGTATTATGTATCATTTACAGAATGTATGTCCACACCTGAAGCACATGTTCAAAGTTAAACAGAATAATGAACTCCCTTCTATCGTTTTTTTCTGTCAAACTGTTATAAATCAATACATGTAAAGTGTCAGCGCCACAATGGATGGTTGATAGTTTCCATCTATTTAATACATTACGAATATTAACGGCTTAATTTTATCGGTTTCTTCTAAACTTTAACTTATTAAGTTTAAATATTACAGAACACAACCGGGTGTGTCACATTCATTAATATTTTAAATCGTTATCCATTCATAATACATTGCACGTGTATGACAGTTACTAGAAAACCTAATGTGACACAGTTAACAAATAACAGTTTATATAAAATTTTGGAGCCCCAAACAATATCGTGTATTATTCTCACTCACTATGAACTGAAAGAAAAATACAATTAATTTGATCAATTATTATGGTTCTGGTTTTCACTAGAACCATACAACGTATCTGCGTTGTACGGTTCTGGTGAAAGATGTCAGGGATTCTTCAAAAATGTGTCCCAGTTGGAAAAGGAAGGCAGCAACCTAGCAGATGGAAATCATTCACATCGTATGGTTTATTAAAGTATAAATGACTATTTGCTTTTCTGCAGTCCCAGTACCTTCAGAAATATATTTTTTTATGAAACCAACTTCAGTAACCTTGCACTGTCGAGGCTGGTTTTGACTCCTGTGTCACATGACCGCGGAGACTGCATAAAATTTTAATTTCCCGGAAGTTACCCATGCGACTTGGAGGCGCACCGGCTTCACACAGCAGAAACACCGCACTATGGCCTCGCGCTGAGCCTGCACAAACGGCAGTGGTGTTAGTACTCAACCTGGCAATCCGTCACCATCGACGCCCTGATCATGGACCAACGGTCCAGAGGCTTGTTTGGGGGCCATCGGTGTTGTCAGTAGTACTCCCGAAGTACTATTATCTTTAGAATTTGAGTGCTGTCACATTTTGCACGCCCGGGGATTTAAAGTGAAGTGACAGCAACATCAGCAGCGGCTGCCGGTTATTAGCACGCTAGTAACTAGCACTAAGAAAGGGCATCACTTTTGCCTGTTTTTGGAGTAAAGACACGGGAACTACTACACAACTACTTCCACTAACTGAAGACTGACCCGAGTTCAAACGTAACTACATATTTATTACTGACTCCCGGTAAGCGTAAAACTACCTACAAATGACTTCATTTTGTCAAAGGCACTTAGGCTAGGTAACGCTAGCTGCGGCTTGCAGGCCCGGTGGGTGTCAGTCCACACGCTGGGAGGGCTAGTAGTGGAATGTGGAACAAAGTATGCTTTCGAAGAGAACAAATTTAGAGGAACATTTAACGTCATTGTGTACTGTAAGTATAGAGTAGTACTATAAAAATTGAGAAGAAAGCTTTATAGTTTATAGCCAGGATTAGCCTTTCTTGTGTCACTTCGGCTTTGAGAATTAGCAGGAAAGCTAATAAATTAATGTCATCAAATATGCCTTAACATTTTGTCCTATACTAATTTGACAATGTTGAGGGATCGCTCCCTTTGCACACGTGAACTAGTAAGTTTAAATTTGTGCCGTGTTGATGTAACCTCGCTGTTCAACGTGTACGGCCTTGGAGGACAGGACAGAACTTCTACTGCTAACGTTCAACCAACAATGGCACAACTGTAACCCAATCGCTGTCAAGTGTTGCAAGATCACCCAAACATTCGATTCAGTTGTTTCTACGGATGTCCTTTGAGGTAACACGTAGCAAATCAATCAAATAAAAGGTATTTTATGCGTTGTTAAATTCTAAAGATGGAATAGAACTCGGCATTGAGCCACGTAGCCCAACCAGGACTTATGTCCGATAGTGGGACACGTAACGTTAGCCGGCTCATGGCTGACCTGCTAGCAGGCCAGTGGAACGATTTTGACGATAAAACGTGGTTTAGCTTTCGTAGAAAAATAATCTCATAAAGTCGAATTATCAATAGATTTTTCATAGAGTTGCTGACAGTCACCACGGACTAATAGGCGTGGCTGTTTTCTGAAAAGATATAATGTCTATTAAAGGCATTTTACCAGCTAGTGGCTAATGGTAGTTCACTGTAACAGCAGGTGGATAGTGTGACACGTCTGCCAATCGTATTTACAAGTTTTTAAAAAATAAATCTAGCATGTAGGCACGATTTATTTGGACATGCTAATTGCAATATTATTGAAGAACCTATATTATTTTCTCTAATAGTTATTTGAATGGGTTATTGTCGCATGTAAACCCCAGGCATAAGTCACAGTAATTGAACTTTGCCCCCAAAGGTATCTATTTTATTTCTTGAACTCCTCGTAGCTATATGAAACCGTGTTAAATATAATGAAGTATAGGTTGCATTAAAATGAATCAAGATTTATGAATTCAAAGTCGTCAAATGACACTTGTCATTAGCCGGAAACCACCAGGTATGACTGTGCATATGTTAATGATCCATTGAAATTTTCATTTAATTGCATGACATGCCACATAATTCACATTATCAACATCATTTAGGTATGTTGAAGTCTTTATATTTATGTACTAATTTTACTGCAGTTAAGTAATCCATGGCAACTGAATTACCAGTTGGTTAGAACTTTAAGGTCTCTAAAGATTTTTATTAAGCAGATGTGCTTCAACCTTTGCTTTTAAAATGTCTTAAATGTTAAAGTTGCATGGCTTCCCTTTTGCAGTAAGCTATTTTTATTATTTTTTTTAAAAATAAAAAGTAAATGGTTTTTGAGCAATCATCAGCATTTATTTGTATATTGTATGATTGTCTTTTAGCTTATATAATGTACATAAATAAGAGGTTGCGCTGTATTCTATTTGAAGCAACTAGTTTTGTTGTAGTCAAACAATATTCAAACAAACAATTAGTATATCTTTAGGAGGTTAACAGTTTAATAACTGTAATATCTAACTCTTTCTTTCTTTCTTAAAGCTTTAAGTACGAGATACCGTTATCTGCGCTTTCGTCAGATTAGGGTTAGAAGTTCAGAAATGTCTTTCAGTAGGAAGTTTTGCCAATGAGTGGAGGTCAGCTGTCAAAAGTTGATTTGTCAAAGTTGGTAGTCATTAGTTTACTCTAGTCAAGTGTCTCAGTGTTTAGAAATGGGATCTTACAGCCTGTATCATTAAAAAGAAAGCCAAACTAGAATTCACAAAATGTTATCACACGTAAGGCAAAACCGCAGACCACACCCTCACTGTTTGTTGAGAAGTTACCACCAACTTGTCTTGGCTGATGTTACTGCTTTTTGACCTGTATGGCTACTATGAAATTCATGTGCGCTATGTTTAAAACTCTTTGGAATAGAAGTTATTGTATTAAATCCATGTTGTGTTTTTTCTAATGTGTAATTCTGTTTTTCTTTGCATGCCATTTTTCCTGGTTTCTTCAGAAAGGCTGGCAACACAACGCCACACTGATGCAGAACCACAAAATAGCGTGAAATGAATAAACCACCACAGCCTATAACGGGACCTTCTTCCGTCCCAAACCCTGCCCCTTCTCCTGGATTGACACAGGTAAGAACTTCTGATGTCTTACAGTTAACACTATTTTGGGAAGTACTTAACACATTTATTCCATCCATTTAAAGGCTGCCTACGGCCCTGGACAGCCCCCCTCTCTTGTTTTTGCTTCACCTCCACAAATGAACCCAACACCACAGGCAAGACAGGTATCGCAGCATGTATTGTTTTGCCTACTCACTGTAATCACTTTATGTAACTGTGCCATCTTCTGCCTTAAAAAAAACCCTCCCCTTTCTGCAATTGCACAAAAACACAGACACCTGCTAGAGCAGTAACACTTGCTAATATATGCACGTGTTTGTATGACCCATTGGCCATCTTTCTTCTTGAGTGTAAATGTTCACTTATTTCCTCTCCTGCTGTCCTCCCAGTTTGCTGCAGGGCCTCGTACTTTACACCAACAGGTACTAACCAGCCCCCCCTTTTTGATATTTCTTCCATGACTTCATTTCTTGCATGCTCTTGGTATCACATCTCGGTAACATTCTTAACCTTATTTTAGAAATGTGTATTTCTCTAAATGCTACAAAACATTTTTTATTTGAAAGCTAGTTTTTGACAAATCACTACTTTTTTGTGAAATTGCATGCAGTGGTTAAGTGAAACTATTCACTATTCTGTTCATTTTATTAGCTGTTGCTCATTTGATCCCACGCTGTATATCAGACAAGCTAGAGCATAAAGTGATTGCCTTTTTTAGGTAC